AAGGGGTAGTCTGCTTAAGGCGTCTGCATTTGCATGGCTGTCTTTGGACTTATACACCATCATGTATTCATAGGCACTCATCAGCAGAGCCCATCTTTGCACTCGAGGGGAACCCATCTGAGGAACGGGTTTCTTTTCTGCAAAAAGGGAAATCAGGGGTTTATGGTCTGTGCAAATAGTAAATTTGCGACCATATAAATACTTGTGGAATTTTTTTACTCCAAAAATGATAGCTAAAGCTTCTTTATCCAACTGAGAATATCGTCGCTCGGCTGGTGTCAACGTACGGGACGCGAAACCTAGGGGTTTCTCAGTGTTATCTTCCATTCGATGTGAAAGCACAGCTCCCACACCATAAGAAGAGGCATCACACGAAATAATTAGGTCTTTTTCTGAAGAATAGTGTACCAACACATCTGTGGACTGTAGAAGTTCCTTTGATTTTTTGAAAGCTTTGGTCTGCGACTCACCCCAGGTCCATTTAGTATCCTTTCTTAACAGCATGTGGAGGGGAGCTAGGATACTCGACACATTGGGTAGGAACTTGTTGTAGTAATTCAACAACCCTAAGTAGGCTTTCAATTCAGTGACATTAGTGGGACACGGAGCTTCCGTCAAGGCTTGCACCTTGTCTTTTAGTGGGTGTAACCCCTGGGCATCAACTAGATGACCTAAATAACGCACTTCTTTTTGAAGGAATTCACATTTGTCCCTTTTTAAGCGCAGCCCAGCATCTTGAAGTCGAGTGAGCACGGCCTCCAGGGTTTGCAAATGCTCTTCATCAGTTACTCCAGTGATCAGTATGTCATCAAGATAGACTGCAACATGAGTTAATCCTTGCAGCAACCCTTCTATGGTTCTTTGAAATATCGCGCCGAAGCCACTCCAAATGGAAGACGATTGTAGGTGAACATGCCCTTGTGGGTGTTGACTGTGAGATACTGCTTGGAATTTTCATCCATTACAATCTGCTGGTAGGCATGACTCATATCCAGCTTTGAAAATTATGAGCCCCCAGACAAGGTTGTGAAGAGGTCTTCCACACGTGGAATGGGATATTGTTCCAAAGGCGATGCCTGGTTTATGGTGAGCTTATAATCTCCGCATAGTCTAATTGAACCATCAGGCTTGAGGATGGGAACGACCGGCGCTGCCCACTCTGAGTACTTCACAGGAGTGATGATGTTTTCGTTCAGCAGTCTGTTAATTTCCGCATCAACCTTAGACCGCATAGCAAAAGGTACAGATCTGGGACGATATAATTGTGGCACCGACCCCGGTTTAACATGTATCGTCGCAGACATCCCCTTAAGAGTTCCTAATTCCTCTTTAAAAACTTCCTCATGACACTGCAGTATTTCTACCAATTTCAGTTTGAGGGTATCCTCATTTTCCTTTATTCTCACATTTCGTATTTCTCTCCAACACAGTGTTATCTGTTCCAGCCAGCTTCTGCCCAGCAAATTAGGTCCTTCTCCCTCAACCACAATGAGAGGAAGCTTTTTTTTCTGTTGGTGATACATGACGTCCACGTAAGCAGCTCCTATCACCTTAATACGCTCACCTGTATAGGTTTCCAGCTTTATCTGTATAGGTTTCAACTCAGGGCTCAGTGGTTCTTTCCATGTGGCTTTGAAGCAGGTTTCGTTCATGACTGTCAGGCCACAACCTGTCTAATTCAAAATTCATATTTTGTCCATTGACATTCAGTTCGACTGTATACGGTTTCACTTTTTGTAACTCTGAACAGTCCATACTGCCAAGCTGGTATGTGAGGCAACCCAAAGTAAAAGAATCCGCAAAGCCATTTTCAGCATCATTTACTTCCACTTTATTTGACTTGTGCCGTGAAGCTGCTTTGGCAGTGTCTCCATTAGAATGATACTTACGATCTTTTGTTCTGGCATTACGGCAAGCTCGAGCAATGTGTCCTATTTTCCCACAATTATGACACTTTTCACTTTTGTATCTGCATGTAGAAACCGTGTGATTTATGCCTTTGCATCGATAACACTGCCCACTGTTCGGACGGTAATCTTTCTTACTGTGCATTGGCGTAGGGGAGCTTTTCACTTTGTGGCACACAGCAGAGGAGGGCTTTTGCAAATCTTGAATATTTTTATTTGCTGCTTCAACAGACAGAGCCATTTTCAATGCATTGTCAAATGTCAAATTTGATTCCGCCAGCAGACGTCTTTGAATTCTGTCGTCATTTATGCCGCATACAATCCGATCTCTCAACATCTGCTCTAGCGTGGCTCCATAATTGCAATTTTGTGCCAATCTTCGCAGCTCTGCAACATATTCGGTTACAGACTCTTCCGGCTTACGAGTGCGCGAGTCAAATTTGTATCTTTGTACAATTTCGCTTGGTTGTGGGGTATAGTGATTCTTTAAGATCAACACAACTTGCTGATATGTTTTGTCTTTTGGTTTTTCAGGACTTAAGAGATTGCGCAACAAGCTGTACGTTGGAGCACCAACAACGCTAATCAGAATGGCTCTCTGTCTGTCCCCATCATCTATTCCATTTGCCTCAAAAAACTGCTCGAGAATCTCACAATATTCCTCCCAGGATTGACTCTTTACATTTCTTGCATTACCTCGACAGCAGAAGAGGAAAAATACTGTGCATGCATAATTATTATGCAAGTTGATATTCTGATTATATTTTTTTCCAAGCACACTTTATCAATTCCAAACAACATAAATCTAAAATAACCACTATTATTCTTGTATTTAATCACTTATAATCTATATATTATTGTTCATGAAGGCTGGAAGTGAAAAACGGCTTATATTCAGGTGTGCATAATTATTAAGCAGGTTATTTTCTACAGATAAAATCTCGAGATATATTCGGTTACAGACTCTTCCGGCTTATGAGTGCGCGAGTCAAATTTGTATCTTTGTACAATTTCGCTTGGTTGTTGGTTATAGTGATTCTTTAAGATCAACACAACTTGCTGATATGTTTTGTCTTTTGGTTTTTCAGGACTTAAGAGATTGCGCAACAAGCTGTACGTTGGAGCACCAACAACGCTAATCAGAATGGCTCTCTGTCTGTCCCCATCATCTATTCCATTTGCCTCAAAAAACTGCTCGAATATCTCACAATATTCCTCCCAGGATTGACTCTTTGCATTTCTTGCATTACCTCGACAGCAGAAGAGGAAAAATACTGTGCATGCATAATTATTATGCAAGTTGATATTCTGATTATATTTTTTTCCAAGCACACTTTATCAATTCCAAACAACATAAATCTAAAATAACCACTATTATTCTTGTATTTAATCACTTATAATCTATATAGCAATTTCTAGTATTGTATTAGTTTTTAATATTTCTCATGGGCATTTAATAATTTTTGCTTTCAGTCTGAGTTAAATCTCTTTTTTGGCTCATTTTATCTGTAAAGGAAAATCTGCTTAAGAATTATGCACACCTTTATGCACACCTTAAGAATTAAGATATTCTTCACTTCCAGCCTTCATGAATAATTATATATCAATTATAAATGATTAAATACAAGATTAATAGTAGTTATTAAGATTGATGTTGTTTGGCATTGGTAAATCAGGTGTGCATAATTATTAAGCAGGTTATCTTCTACAGATAAAATCTCGAGATGGACTAAAAATGAACTCCCAAAACTGCCAGATTCTGGCAGATAAATTCTTCAAACAGTGTTACAAGAGGATGTGGTGCTGGTCCTTTAAGAGTAAT